TTCTCATTTGGATTACTGGTAAAATGACTTAACAAACTTACTGCATAAGCAATATCAGGTCTGGTGCAGTTCATAACATACATAAGGCTTCCCAACACTTGAGCATATAGCTTTTGTGTTGTAGCTTTATCAGTGTTCTTTAATAAACTCAAATTAGAATCTACAGGGTTCCTCACAGGAGTTATATTCAAACTCTTGAATTTCTCAAGAACCTTAGCTATATAGTGAGCCTGTGATAAGGCCAACCCTGTAGATGTTCTATGGATTTTAATACTTAGGATAACGTCTGCTATCCCTATATCTTTCATATCAAACTTACTTTTAAGTAATTGTTTAGTAGCATTAATCATTTGATTATTACTACCCATGATCAACATGTCGTCTACATAAAGACAGACAATGGCAAAACCTTTTTCAGTATTTCAAACATAGACACATTTGTCACATTCATTAATTCGAAATCCATTTGACAACATAACTTTGTCAAATTTCTCATGCTATTGTTTTGGAGCTTGCTTTAACCCGTAAAGGGATTTTATTAAGCGACAAACTTTCTGTTCTTGTCCTGGAACAACAAAACCTTCAGGTTGTTCTAAATATATCTCTTCTTCCAGGTCGCCGTTTAAGAAGGCAGTCTTAACATCCATTTGATGTATTTGTACTTCATTCAATGCAGCTACCGCGATCAACATCCTAATAGATGTGATCCTTGTAACCGGTGAATAAGTATCGAAAAAACGAGACCTTCACGTTGCCTGTAACCTTTTACCACAAGCCTTGCTTTATATTTATCAATAGTGCCATTCTCTTTCATTTTTCTTTTGAAAACCCACTTACTCCCTAAAGGCTTATTGCCAGGAGGAAGATTTACCAATTCCCAAGTGTGGTTGGACAAGATAGATTCTATCTCACTATTGATAGCTTTTTCCCAGAATGGTCTTTCCGGGGACGTTATAGCTCCCTTATACGTCCGAGGCTCATTTTCTAATAGATATGTCATAAAATCAGGTCCAAAGGATGTGGCGGTCCTTTGCCTCTTGCTACGTCTAGGTTCATCTTCTACATCCTCTACAGGATCAGTATCAGTTGTAGCATCCTGAGGTATCACAACCTGATCATCATTATTACCACTTGATTCATATATTTTCTTATACGGAAATACGTCTTCAAGGAAAGTAACTTCCCTTGACTCAATAACCGTATTAACATGTATATCTGAAACATCAGATTTATAAACCAGAAACCTGCATAACCAATGAATACACAATCCACAGTTTTAGGTCCGATTTTCAACCTTTTAGGTTTAGGAACCGCAACCTTAGCCAAACACCCCCACACTTCAAGATAATTCAAGGTAGGCTCCCTACCTTTCCACATTTCATAGGGAATGTTCTTAATTTTCTTGTGGGGTACTTTACTGATTATATAATTTGTCATTAAATGACTTTGCCCCATAAACCAGACATCAACAACATCATTTTATTTAATGTCTGGTTCTTTATACGCAATCACATTAAATTGCAACACCATAAGGAGCAATCGTTTGATATATAGTACCAAACTCTAAACAAAATTCCTCAAAGAGGACATCATTCCTCTCAACAATCCCATTGGATTGTGGAGCGTAAGAAGCCATCGTTTTATTCCTCTGAAACTGCATATCATTATCATTCTGTCTCATATATCTGACAAGTAAGTCTGTTCTTATTTTATTTATAATTGCACAGTGATAATTCTGATCATCTACCCCTTCTGTTCTTTACATGGGTTCAAACCTCTAGTGATTTAATATCACCCACTGTCTTCACTAACAATCTTAAGACAATTTGCCCCCTCATCGATGCCAAAGGTTGATGGACACTTGTCTCCCAGGATAGTACGGATTTCGTCTGAAGAGTGGCGGCACTACCAGTCAACAGCCCAAACGAACACAACAAAATGCCAGAGGAAATCACACCAGAGTATGAACAAGAATATGCAAACCGGGAGGAGAAAAATTCCGGCAGAGTTTCAGTGCAGGAAAAATTGGATCCATTTTCTGAAGGTGTCAGTGTCTATTTATAGACACTGACCGGTCACGTTTCAAAAGGCACCTATTCGACGACGAAACAACACATCCGTTGGACACGAAAAGACACATTCGTTCAACACGAAAAGGCACCCATTCAAGGATGAAACAACATGTCCGTTAGGATGAAACAACACATCCATTAGGATGAAACAACACATCTGTTCGGATGAAACAACACATCCGTTCAGATGAAACAACACATCCGTCCAGATGAAACAACACATCCGTTCAGATGAAACAACACATCCTTTAGGATGAAAAGATACATCTGTTTGTCGACGAAAAGGCACACTTTTTCACTACCAAACTTCTTATTCATAACCAATAGATTGTCTATACAATTTATATATATATATATATATATATATATATATATATATATATATATATAAATTCCAACAAAGGCCAAATAAAAATCTTTACATATAATTCCTCATAAGAATCTACAATTCGATTAATTACTAATTCCTCGTAAGGATCTACAATTTAATTTACATTTAGACCTTTGTCCTTATTATGTATTGCTTTATATCTACAATTTTTATTTTTTGTAACAAAAGCAAATTGTCATATTTGTATGAAGGTATTTTATAAATCCATTATTCTTGAATAGAACAACCATAAATATTACAGTAATAATATAGACGGTTATTTCTGTGTTCTTTTTAAGGATGCCTTCCATCGCACAAGGTCATGATGATAAACTTTTCAACTTTTTAAATTATGGCTATTTGGTCATATCAGCTACTAATCAGCGTGTCTGTGAACAACTGTTGATCTGTAATGTGTACTGCTTTGCAACCATTTTTAGTTTTGTGTCATCCTCAATTATAATGCTCTTAAGCAGGTGATTCCGACCTGGTTAAAGTTCTTGCCATTAACCAGTGATTTCAATGAAGCAAGATATGCACATGGACTGCTTTCTAAAATGTTGCAAAGGTGTTAAATCTTTTTCTTAATTCTCTTTTTGACTTTTTGTTGCTTTATATTCAAATTATTACATCCATACTTGGGTACTAACTTTACGCTAAGCAAAATTTGAAAACTGCATATATCAGGTCAGAGGCAGACCTTTTGGGGCGTAATAATGAAAATCTTCCTAAGATTCTTTCCATCGTTAGAGAAGTGAGTAGAACTTTTCTTTACCTCTTTTCTGCTGAAATATGGATTCAACTTAATGATCATGGTAAAGTATTTTCTGGTAGATTTTATCTCGAAATGACAATCTTGCAACGGAGGAAACTATTAAAGAGATGATTGATTTCCTAAACCAACATGGTGGGATGCCATGATAGTTTAAAATTTTTTTAGCACATCAACCACTATTCCCATGCGACACCTTTCCTCTACTATGTGTATTAGGGAGATGCAACTTTTTTAGGGAGGGGGTACAACAACATGAAAGGAAGATTTCAATTTTCCAATGTGTAAAGGTACAACAACATTCGTACATACAAATAATACAAATGTGCTTTAGTTTTTTTTTTTTTTTTTGGAAATAAAATGTACAGTAGTTTGCTATTCTGTTCACTTGATCAGAGGTGTTTCTTTCTTTTCTTTTATTTTCTTTTTCATGCACAAATTCACTCATAATACCTTGCGATATAAAAGAATTTCACAACATTTTTTTATATTAGACATATAAATATGATTAAAGCTAACGTACAAAATATTGATGTCTTTAATTCAATTTAAGTTTGTTCCTTTATGTTAATAATATATATTTTTATAAATTATATCTTAACTATATAGAAATACATAAAATGATACATGAATCCAAACCTTGTGAACTCCCTCTCTACTTCAGTTTATATTTGAACTTTACCTATTGATCCCAATCAAGTATATTTTAATTTTTAATCATTATTCTTTTCACAAATTTTTATCAGTGATTTGAGGAAAACAAACTTAATATAATACGAGGTTCAAATGATACTTCTGCTTTAAAGTTTGTAGTTTTAATTTTTTTTTCATACTTTAAAGTTAAAGGGTTGCTTAGTTATAGCCTCAACCTTTTCGTCTGGGTTTTTCTTCAGTTTGATTATATTTTGTATGATTCATCATAATCTGGACCTGTATATAATGGGCCTAGCATGCCCAAACCCAATTTATACACGATCAAGGTCCAATGACAGATCATGGTAGTTATCAATCACAACATTTCTCATACGTAGTTTTGAAGTATTTTACGTACGTAGTATCTTGAGAGGGAAAAATGTTTATCATTTTAAATAACGCAACTTGTATCTTTTCACTTTTATAAAGAGGTGAGATCCATATCTTTTTTTTTTTGTCAATTCTCTTTCTTCCATTATCTATTTTTTTCTCTCTCTTAAAATGACACACACTTTTTCCATTTTGAAAATTAGAAAGTAAAAGTGCATAATTGTTTACGAGAAACATTTGTTTATAGTTCAATTAATTCAATCAAGGTTCAAAAACTTGCATATTAGAAAATTCAAATGAAAAATATATGTCATGAATATTAATAATTTTAAGTAAAAAATAATAATAAAATTTAAAACTATTTTCACGCAATTTTTACTTCGATTAAAAACTTTTGTGATCTTCCTACAAGTTCTAAAGCAAATGAAAATTTATTTTTCAAATAGAATATGCTTCACTAGGAGAAAAATTTCAATGCACTCGACCATCAAATTTTGATGTTCTCTTTTTATTAAATAGGAAAAAATTTAGGATTAAAAAAGAAATGTAAAAGAAATGGGTAAAAAAAGTGCCATTGAAGTTTTTCTCCCTTCGCTAGGTTATAATTCAGGTACCACTTTATTTGTTTATTCATGTGTATATTGAAAACTAAACAAGAAATACAAGACTAGCTGACATGGCCAAATTCTCCAACGGATAAAACAGAATCTCTCTCTTTGAACAGTTTCTCTTCCCTCCAAAATCTGTATTCGAACCTTCAACAATGGCGTCAACCTCTAACTCTAGCGATAGATCTTCCTCGCCACCTCCGTCGACCTCGTCGCCACCAGTGTCCCTACTTCGCCACCCATTGTCGCCGCCGCGAACTTACACCTTCGAACAAAGATCGCGCAAGAGAAGGCGCGTGGAAGAAAAGCGAGACACATCACTAATCCACGGCTTCGATCTTCAACTCCACGCCAACGAGATCCTTCAATCGGAGGATCTCTCGAAACTGCAAACCGCAATCGAAGAGTTCTCTAAATCCTCAACCAAGAAGAAGAATCTTGAATCCAAACGTCTCTTCGATTCCCTCGCACTCCATTACCCGAACGCATTTTCCTTCAAGCTCGCAAAACTCCTCAACCTCCAACCTCCGCTCGACATCCGCACCGTGGCCGTTGATCTTCTCCACCAAACTCTCACCAAAACGCACGGGCACGGCGACCTGTGGAAAATCAATAAGGCCATGCTTATGGAACTCAAAAACCCTCTCCTCCAATCTGTCAAGATTGAATCCGAAGAATCGTTGCTCCCTCCGCTCTGCAAAACGATCGGAAATGTCGCTTCTAGGGTTTATGAATATCCTCTTGGTGGTTGGAAAGAGCTTCTTGAGTATGTTTGCTCGTGTGTTTCTGGTGACTCGAATTTGAACCATAGAAAGGGGCTCATGCTGTTAGCGGAATTGCCATTTGATGCGTCCGGAAACAGAGAATTCTGGGAGAATGGGAATTACGGTACACTCACAGCGAGGGTCTCGATGCTTGTGAACTCAACTGATGAGGAATTTCAGGGTTTGAAATTTGATGCCTCGTTTGCGCTTATGGGAATGTCCATTAATCTTGGGAGAACCGAAGTCTGTGATTCTCTTTTGCCAATTACATTGGAATTCATTGATAGACATGTTGAAGAAAAAACTGTGGTGGATAGGCTTCGACGCTTGGCAGATTTGGTTTGTTTAGATGAGGGTGAAATCTTCAAGGGGAAAGAGGGTGATGTGTTTCAGGGTATGCTTCGACTCGCGGAGGCTGAAGGTGCTAGTGAGGAGCTAAGGTGTGCTGCGGTTCTTGTTCTGAAGGAGCTTGACGAGGAGAACATGGACGCTATGGAGAATGTGATGAAGAACCTGCCTCTTGTGGAAGTGAAGAGGGTCCTTGCACTTTGTATGGAGATGTTGACGTGCGTTCAAGATGATCCTCTTTGGTATGAACTGGACAATGTGAACTGTGAAGAGGCTGGGATGTTGTCAGAGAGTTTCAGACGTGGAAAGTTCTTGCTAAACTGGCTGTGTTCTGAAGGGGATGAAAGTATATTCATTCCCACTGTAATTGAGATGGTAAGAGAAACATATATAGCTGATAAGGATTGGCGGAAACGTCATGCAGGAATTATGGCCATTGGAAGAATTGCTCAAGGACAAAGCAAGGTATATGTGATCCTCTTCCTTTATTTTTTTTTGTGATAATAGGCATTATTTTTTTAAAAAAAATTTCTATGTGAGCTAAGGTAGATCATGATAGTATGTCAGTATGTATGCCCTTTATACAGTTGAATTTTGGAATTTGTATTTTGGTTTCTCTTACATAATAAGCCTAAATTTTAGTGACATCATCGATCTTAAATAATTCCATTCCATATGAACTTTGTGTTTATATTATCAAAATTATTTAACAGAATTAAATCCAATATATCAGTCACTCAATTTTGTAACACTTGGATGGTTGATTGTAAAAGTGTCATCAGAACAGTATTCATTAATGGGCGCTTGCATCTTACATTTCCAGGGCTGAAGTTCACGAAAATGCGACTATAAGCATCTGAGTACATTTTTTTTTTTTTGGAAAACTACAAGAGAAGACAGAAAACTATCTAGCTACTCTGGGTCTGTCAGTACCCATTCTGTCTTTAGCTACCAGATCAATACAACCATTGGGAGGTGAAGGATTTATAAGGATATCCCTCTTAACAGATAAAGTTTGGTGAGCCATCCATTCAGCCACCATGTTACCCTCCCTGAGAGTGTGATTTAGCTGCAAGTTCCAATTGCAATCAAGAAATTCTCTCACTTTAATTCCAATAGAAGCCAGTGGGTGATCACTCATTCCATCTTGTTCTATGAATTCCAACACCTGAGAGGAATCTCCTTCCAAAATAATGTTTCTAAAACCCCCCTCCCAGGCTAGTTTCAGACGTGTTAGAAAGCTCCATAGCTCTGCATCTGAGTACATTTTTAATGCCACAAAGTTACATCTTTTTTAAAAAAATGAATAAATTGTTCCTGTTCTTTTATTTGCGGTGCTAACGATTTCAACCACATATGCTTGTCTTTTTTACATTCTCTTTTGCTGCCACAGGACATGATTCAGGTTTTTGAGCAAGTTAAGAGACTGGTCTTTACGTCACTCAATGATACGCACCCCCGCGTAGTTTGGTTTGCTATCCATGCTACTAACTCTCTGAGCGAATATAAAGAATTAGTACCGAATGTCCAATATCATATGAAGTTCTTGGCTAAACTAGTTTTCATCATTAAGAGTAGCCTTTTTCCCCGTGTACAGGTACAAACAGAATAAGTCTGGAGTTCCACATCTATGAACTAAGAGTTGTTTGTTTTCTATTCCTTATCTGTCATTGTCAGGTCCATTTTTCCAATTGATTATATCTATTTGTTTTCGTTTTCGTCTAGACAACATGCATTGCAAAAATGCAGTTAATTCACTTTATGTCAAACTCAAAACTGTGATTTCAAATTCAGTCTTTATTTGGAGTTAGTCAGTAAGCACAGTGCTGTCATCAGTTCATATAATTGTGTAGGAAATTGATTATAGAACAGAAAGCTCAACCCCAGCTCCTTGATACTTCTACTGTTATGTGTTGTCAGTAGCAGTTCCATTGATTTCAAACTTCCACAAGCATGCATGAATCACGAATGACCCACTTTTAGTGCTGCTTCTAAAACAGTCTTCTTACGTAGTTATCACAACTTACAACTGATTGGTTCTTCTTACATTGTATAAATAACACACGATGGCTATTTTATACAATGACCATCATTTAAAGAGAGTAAATGCTCTGAAATATTGATACTCATGTGGTTCAGTGGGGATCTACTACTATTTATCTCATTTTCAACATGTTGTAAGCATTCGCCTCTTTCTATTTTCAATATTACGTCAGTAAATAGTATTTGTTAGTTGTCACTCATTTTGGAATATGCATATATAAGATTTACCCCTAAATGTTGACAACAATGATAATTTTCGAAGTTATTTTCATTGAACTTATTCTCTGTACGCATCGTCCCATTACTCACCCAGTTGTTTAATACCTGTATAAATTATCCCTTATTAGTTGTTATCTATTCAATTGTTTAATTTTTTCTGCAGGCATATGCTATTATAGCCATTCGTTTCTTGGTTACATATTGTGGCTTAGACAGAATGGCATCTTTTGGGGAAGAGATTGTGACAATAATGCTTTTACTTCTTAAGGTATATGACCTGCAATTTCCGCTATCAACTTCTCATTTGCAAACTTATTGTGCTTATATAATCATTGCATACGAGTTTATAATCTACATGATTGTTTCTACATTTTCCATACCATATTCGTGCAATCTCACCCCTTATTTTTCTATGGTATACGTGAGTTTTCAGCATGAAAAGCAGAAGTTACAGGAAGAAGCTGCGGAAACCCTGACATTAATTGCAGTTTCGATACCGCTGGTATATCTTTATATCTGAAGTACAACCACGATGTAGGTTTTGATTGCACTTAAATTATTATCCCAACCCCAATGCAAATTGATGTGTAATTGTTCAATGCAGGCCAATTTTCGTAAATATTACGATACAACAATGGATTCACTAAAAGACATTCTGTTTCATAACTACAGTTCACCTAAACTTTTGCTCCGTGCCAAATGTCTAGCATGTATGAGTAGTATTGTCCTGAGGGTCGAACAAGTTAAGTTCGATGAACAGGAAGCTGTTCTGGTGAGTATTTCTGCTAATTCCTATTGTTTGGTTTTTCTAAGGCAAACTTGTAATTGTTTCAACCCTTAATTAATTTTATTGGTTTCAACCTTACAGATATTGCTTCTCAAATTTTTTATCAAGTTTCCCCACTCCCTTATGAGTATATATAATTGAAAAAAAAATATTGTTACTTGTATAACGGTTATTTTCATATAAGGCGTCGCTGCTTAATCACCAAGAAAATTTTGGACTCTTGGGGATCTGGAAAGCAACAGAAAATTATGCTAATTCGATCAAACAGTTTGATTTGAAGTGCAGCATAATTTGACTCAAAACAGAAAAATATTACGAGTATGATTTGGTTGCATCTGACAATTTTAAAATGGGTACATAAACATGTAATTTATCACTGTATAGTATTTGAAATATTTGAGGGGTCACTGCTTCTAAAATGATCACTGAAAAATGATCACTGTATACATTTGAGTTTTTTAAGGAAAAAAAAATCCAGTTTCTCTTAACGTGATGGATAATTTTAGTTCAGGTCATATAGAAGATAATACTGAAATCAACGTTAAAATTATGATTTGAAAGTATGGGAAAATTAAAAGGAGAAAATATAAGGTGCACTTTTTTATGTCATCCAAAAACTATTGCAATTGTTCAAGCAGAATATTGCTCTACCTCATGATCCTGATACACATCATTCAGAATTCGAGTTAAATTTGTCTATAGATTCTTATGAAAGCCTGTCAAATACTTATGAAATTATTTCTTACCATGCTAATTTATCTTGTAACGCTGTGAAGGTCATAGATTCTCTCATATCACTGGATGGAAAATTGAGAAGTACAGATCACGTAATGAGATATCACATCTTAAAGGTATATTTTTGTGGCTTACCCCTTGCCTCCCTCCTAAGCTAGATTAAGTTTGCATTCCTACAATAAGTAAACACATTATGCAGGCACTTGATCAATTCTTCCGATGCCCAGGAGTGGATGTTGACAGATTTATCAATAAAGTGATGCCTATGTTGCTTCGTTCTGCTCAACTTGATATTGATCTTAAAGATGATAGGTTTGCCTTTACACATTTTTTTTTTTTTTGTAGGCAGGTTTGCCTTTACATTTTATTATCACACTGGCTTTGATGGAATGAATCATGTTTTGGGGCATTGATGCATTGAGTAAGCTTTGACCTCTAATAGATTTTATAAGAATTTTGATTAAGATAGACCCGAGGGTCCGCAATATGAACTCCAAAATTATGAACAGTCAAAAGAATAGAAATTTGAATCGTAAAGAGAATCTTTGGGATCTGAATAATTGTCATGTCCTTTGATTGGGATTAGAATCATAGTTGTATGGATTTTTTTTAAATATTTTGAACCTGACTCGCTCCAAAGAAATAATTAAAATCATGAAATTAAAAAAAATATTAAAATAATAAGTTTTACAATTTTTCTTTAACTCAAAGTGAACCCGGTCCATTTTAATTACTTTGGAATCGGCCGGGTTGGGTTGGTCTTGTTGCACAAAATCACTTACAATGACAATTGTCATGTGGTTAGGTATACTGATCTTGGAATTTAAATACAATTAAGAAATCTGGTTAGGTTCTCACTTCTCTCCAAAAAAAAAAAATACCTTTTTAGGCTTAGATTGAATAATTACACGTCCTTGATGAAGCCCAAAAAAAAAATCACTTACAATGACAATTGTCATGTGGTTAGGTTCTCACTTCTCTCCAAAAAAATCTTAATAGAAAATAGAGAGGTTACACAGTATCACTGATGGGGTTTTTAAAATTTCGGATTGTATCACGTGATGAAGCCCAAATATTTATGGAGGCCACCCTAATCGCATCAGGCCCAACATCTTGGTTATCTTGGCATAGATTGGAATGCAATTAAGACTGTAACAATTTTTAAAACCATCGTTGGTTGTACATTAACCCATTCAATCATTGTACTCTTTGTCATTTGCAGCCTAGATTGTGGCGGCAAGAATTTCGATGTCGAAACTGAGAGACTTTGGGCTTGTAATGTTCTCTCAAACTGTGCTGTTCGGTGGTCATCGCTAGTGTTTTCTCCTCACATTAGCAAGGTTGGTTGATGCATCAGATTGTGATTTATCTAGAGGCTTTTACCTTAAAAATAAGCACGTAACTGAGCATGTATTCAAATGTTTAGGTCTCTAAAATTTTTGTGCGCTGGCTTGGTTGTTCTAGTTTTGAAACTCAAAAGGCTTCTATTTTAGGTGAACATAATTTCGAATTATTTGAGTTGAAAATTAAGGTCTTGAAGTTTGTGCGTAATCCTTTTTGATAAAATAATTCACTTTGTGTTTCTAGCTCTTCCAAACCTATTGCGCTCAGTTCAATCAGTTGTCCAAAATGAAGTGTCTCAAAAAAGTTTGACCGCCTTCATTGTAGAATCTCTGGTTGAAGCATTGAGCAAGGTAATTTGATCATGGTCCTTACTTCTTATTCTTTCTTCTTGCATTGACCTATTTTTTTCAATTGTAAAATATGAAGAACAATTCGTTCAGTTTATTACTTTGATGTTCAAATTACCACATGCAGGAAGCAGATGAAGATTTGTTTATGACAATGTTAAGGTCACTCCCCGAATGCATTCAGGTATATCCCAGATTTCGAAAGAAAACTGAAAAGATGGTAATTTTTTGTTTTAAGTAAATATTCTCTAAATTAATAATTGTTTAAAAAAAATAATAGATTATAATTAAACCGTTACATCATTCCTTATTTATTCCTATAATCAAGATATAACTCATAATTTAAAAATATAAACTTTAGTCTCTGTTTCATTTTCTTCAGAACCGTCCATACAAAAGAATTTTATAGGGTTTATTAATTAGTAGTATATCATCTTAGTACAGTAGTGTATTATTGAGTAAATTTCTTGGCCTTCATATGAATGTACACGTCAAAATATATTTAGGTCGTATTTTTCTCATTACAAATAATGCATGTCCTTCTGCAGATCTCTAATTCAGTTTTCACTACTCAACTCATCAAGATGACTGCCAGTGTGATAAAACAAATTCTGAATAAGATTATCAAAATTGAGAAAGAACAAGAAGCGGGGACTTCTGAAGGGGGAAGCGAATATTTACCAGATGAAAAAATAATTCTGGTTGTGCTTTTAGATTCTCTTTTTGGGCTCTTATGACATTAAACATTAAATAAGTTTGTTCCAGTAGTTGCTTAATATTTCCTTTACTTATATTGATTATTGAGTGGGAACAAAAAATAATTTTTTTTCTTATTGCAGAGTGCAAATCACTTAATAACAACAACGATTGAAACATTTGAGGCTCGACTTTTGCCGTATGTTGATGACTTTATATCAACTGTTGCACTGCTTTGGGTCAGTATGTTCTCCTCTGTTATTCCTTCTTATGTAGATGCTTTTCAAACTAAGCATAAAGATTCTCATCTTGTTGCACTTCTGCTCGTGTATGTGCAGTTTCTGGCATGATGATGTTTACGGTAATTTTGTGTATAAATATGACTGACATAATTCTATTTCCTTGTTTTTGATTGCATATCAAGTAAGATAATATCTTATTACAATAAATTTGAAAAAATAAATCTTAATCTTTCAATCTCACATAATAGTAAAGAATAGAAATTAAGTAAACGTCATATGACCAATAATTACTTTAAAAGTTCCCATTATGTAAAAGATAGTCATGATAAGTTCTTCTGACTCACATAATAAGCTACTCTTTGTATAAATTTTTTTACTAATTTCTTTGTTTTCTTTCATGGAAATCTTTATTTATTCCAAACCATCAATTGGTTCTAAAATTTTATTGGTCAAACGTCTAAATTTGTTACAAATTGCTGATTGCCCCATATTGTACAACGGAATATAAAAAGATTAGCCTCTACCTATAGATATATTATCTGCACAAGGGTAAAATTTCTCAAATTTTTTAAGATACATCACGTGTATTACTTGTGCTAAGATATTGTAAATAAAGAACCAATTCATCCCAAAAAAGTAAGCTATTAGGTGAACACCAGATTAATGGTTTTATATTATATTTATGTAATATACTGTTAGAAAGTCCTTTCATTTTCTTTTAGTGTATGTTAGAAAGTTGAATACTTACTAACATAACCTTTTAGTGGTGGAATGAGCATTTGGGTGCACTAAAGTTGTGTAAAGATCACTTATTGGTAGAGATATTTGGGTTTATTAGTGTAAAACTTCAGTTTCTGTATTTCCTATAAGAGGCTTATATCATTATATGATGTTGAATGAAAAAACCATTCCCTTTTCCAGTACTGAGTTCTATTTTTCTACATCTTATTTTATAAGAGTGGTATCAAAGCCAACAGTTTGGCTGGGCCAAGTATTTGGAGATGTTGATACACTTGAGGAGGCCTCTGCAAAAGGATAGTGTGACTCCAATACTTGAAGAGAAGAGAAGAGAATTTCACAAAAGTTGTCCTTAGGAGGAGCATGATGTTGGTACTCACACTTGGAGTGAGAATGTTGGAAATATTCAAGCGTGAATAGTGGTGAATTCCCACATCGGTTAGAAATACATCAAGTGAGGACCATATAAGTTCAAAAGACCCACTAACAATTCCCTTTTCCAATATTGTGAGTTCTATTTTTCTACATCTTATTTTATAAGAGTGGTATCAAAGCCAACAGTCTGGCTGGGCCGAGTATTTGGAGATGTTGATACACTTGAAGAGGCCTCCACAAGAGGATAGTGTGTCTTCAATACTTGAAGAGAAGAAAATTTTGCAAAAGTTGTCCTTAGGAGGAGCATGATGTTGGGACTCACACTTGGGGGGAGAATGTTAAAAATATTCAAGTTTGAATAATGGTGAATTCCCACATCGGTGAGAAATAAATGAAGTGAGGACCATATAAGTTCAAAAGACCCACTAACCTACAACATTAAGGTTTTGGATTGAGATATAGTGTCAGCCCATTTATCGTGATTTGTCATTTGGCTCATTAGTGAATTTATCCCTTGTAAAAGGTTTTAGGCTACCCCTTTCCATTCTGAACAGCATTAAGAATTATTTAAAAGATCACTTAATCACTTAAGAAAGTTAAATAACTATGTTAAAACTTAAACCCTCATAGAAAGCTAGCCTTCTATGAGGAGCTTCGAATAGCTTTCAATTTTAAAACCACTTAATCACTTAAGAAAGTTAAATAACTATGTTGAAACTTAAACCCTCGTAGAAAGCTAGCCTTCTATGACGAGCTTCGAATAGCTTTCATTTTACAAGAGAAGATGAGTTACAAATCATTAGAGGACCATATGCACCCCAAAAATCTAGAAGCTTTGGGTGCTTATAAAACAGGTACATTCAAATGTCAACTATTTATAGATTAGGAAATATTCATATTCAAATTTGAAGGATTGGTTATTATGAATAGAATTATCTGTTTTATGTAATCTTAACACATTGGGCAGTTTTCTTTTTATAAATATCATTACTGCTTCTGCATGATCTTTATGTAATCTTAACACATTGGGCAGTTTTCTTTTTATAAATATCATTATTGCTTCTGCATGATCTTTGGCAGGGTGATGATTTTCGAGACAGAGTGAAAGCATTTGCGATTTCTATTTTTAACATTATTGTGCAACAATTCCCAGAAAAATTGCAGATGTAATTCTAGTTTCTTTTCTCAGTTTTGGCTAAAGTTGTATTACCTCTAATAATAACATATCTCGTCTTTGTATTTGAACAGGTATCATGACCAATATACTTTAGTCCTCTTGAAAGCTTTTAGGGATGAAAATTCTCATGCTCAGCTGGTATTTGCAAAATGTGCCAATAAATTTGTTTCTTTACTCATTTTATATATTGTGCTCTTCAACATTTGTTTTTGGATAATGATTTTACCAGGAAGCTGCACGGGGGATTGGTTTCTGTGCTATGTTTGGAGGACATAAATTTAAACCTATTGCTAATGGTAGCTTCTTTAAGGTCTTAAATGTGCTGAAGTATACCATACCTTAAGTATAATTGCATTTTTGAATATGAAGTGTAATTGGTTTTATGCAGTGGCTATCTCCAGTCTATACTCTGGGATAAAAAGATTTTCAATCAGGGGAGGATCGGGATATAGTTCAGGGATATATGATACGGCAGTTTCAGCCTTTGGGAAAATATGTGAATTTCATCGTGAAAATATTGAGGCCACTGAGGTAATAATCTTCTAAATACCAATGCCGAATAGATAGTCAACTGCTTTTTGGCTGTTAAGATTGGCAATTATATCTTTCTTAAAAAGCAACTTTTTTATACTTTTTTTGGCTGCATTGTTCATTGGCTGAATGATTTTTTTATTTGTTTGCATAAAGAGCTAAGCACGTAAAAAGTTTATTAATAGAATTTTCAAACATTGATTATCAGAAAATGGAAAAAGAGGGAACTTGCATTTTATCAATAAAATATAAAATATCTATCAGAAGTTTAAAAATTAAAAAGAAGCCTTTTACATATAATATCCAACCAAGGGCAAAATTTAATTTATTAATAACAGAAACAGAAGAAATATCGTTTAAGGCTTTATGATGAGGAAGAGAAATGTACTTAAATGAGGGATTTTCGAACCTTGACTCCAGGAAGGGGGCACACAAATTACCAAGTGAATGCCCACCAAGCCAAAGGCTTGGTTGATGGCTAAGGTTTGTACTTGGCCACCAAGTAACAAAGGTTTGTTACAAAAAAATAACAATCTTTGGGTCAACCAAATTCTAAGGTATATTAGTTATCAACCTGCATACTGATTTGTGAGTAGAGATACAAAATAAACTGTTAGGTATCTGAGTTTGATGTTGCTAATGTGGTATATATTGCTTCGGTACATTGAGTTGAGCCTATGGTGCGTATAGATATGCAGCTGGTTCCATTAACATAAACATACAAGCAAAAATGCATATTCTTAAGATGCTTTTAGAAATGTTCTTGTTGATACATCTTCAGTATATTGGTTAGACGGACGCTAAAATCTTACTGCTATGTGCAGCTGTTATTCTACATTCTATGAGAGGATAGTCCGATAAAGGTGGAAGAAGTGAAAGTATCAGATAAAGAATATAATCAGACTTAAGAGATTTAAATCAGTAACTTATGCGAGACTTAATTGTATAATTAAGTGAAAAACAAATGAAAAATACATTTTCGTTCGCATCAGAAGGGATACTGAAGTGGTCTCCTGACAATAATACGCTGGCTTCTTAGCTGATGCAAGTATTATTCTTCCACGCTTGGATTGGCACTCCAAAGCAGGACTGCAGGAGCAGGACATTGGTTCCGTAAGTTCCTTTTATGTTTACAAATACATATAATATGTTAAGTCCAAAATTTTTGTACATTTGTTACAACATATTATTTTACATAAAATTCCTCATGAGAATCTACAATTTTATTAATTTCTAATTCCTCCTAAGAATCTACAATTTAAGCTACATTTGACCTTTGTCCTTATGATGTATTGCTGCTTTATATCTATAATTTATATTTTTGTAACAATTAACAAAGCCAAAAACTTAAAGCAGATGCAAATTGTCATATTTGTAAGAAGGTATTGTATAAATTTGTTATTCTTGGATAGAACCACCATGAATGTTACAGAAATAATTCAGACAGTTATTTTTGTGCTCTTTTTAATTATGCCTTCCATCGTACAAGGTCGTGATAACTTTTCAAAATTTTAAATTATGGCTATTTGGTCACATTAGTTTATCAGCATGCCTGTCAACTGTTGATCTGCAATGTGTACTGCTTTGCCACCATTATTAGTTTTATGTCATCCTCAATTTTAGTGCTATTAAGCAGGTGATTTCGACCTGGTTAAACTTCTTGCCACTAACCAGTGATTTCAATGAAGCAAGATATGCGCATGGACTGCTTTCTAAAATGTTACAAAGGTGTTCAATCTTTCCTAATTCTCTTTTTGACTTTTTGTTGTATTATATTCAAATTATTACATACATACTTAGCTACAAACTTTCAGCTAAGCAAAAGTTGAAAACTGCATGTTTCAGGTCAGATGCAGAGCTTTTGGGGCCTAATAACGAAAATCTTCCTAAGATTCTTTCCATCCTCAGAGAAGTGAGTAGAACTTTTCTTTAACTCCTCTCTGCTGAAATATAGATTTATCTTGATAGAATATTTTCTTGTAGATTTTATCTCGAACTGACAATCTTGCAACGGAGGAAACTATTAAAGAGATGACTGATGTCCTAAATCAACATGGTGGGATGCCATGATAGTTAAAAATTTATACAGCACATCATGCACTATTAACATGTTACACCCTTCCCCTCATTATTAGGCTTCACAATTTCGCCGAAGTCAAATTTCATAAATTGGGGAGGTGCAATTTTCTTTTTCTTTTTTATTTCTTGGGGTTATTGAATTGTACAGACGACAATAAGAAAGGAAGGTTTCGATTTTCCAACGTGTAAATGTATAACAACATTTTACATACAGATAATACAAATGTCCATTATTTTGCTACTCTGTTCACTTGACTAGATGTGTGTTTTTTTTGTTTTGGATGCATCAATTCACTGAGAATACCCTTCGATTTGCCTCTTATGGTCGTACATAAGAATTACAAAACACAATTTTTGATAAGAGTACTTTTCTACTTAAGAATAATTAATATAATTGTTAAGTGGAATTTTGAATCAAATCACAAATTGTGTGAGGCCAAATTTCGAATATTAAATGGTAAGATTAATGCATTTTTCTTTTTTGTACTTAAGGCAAGGCAATAGAGCCAAATTTCCGAGTCGGGTAGTACTTAGATAAAAGGTAATGGGGAGAATGAAAAAAAATGTAACTCCTGAGTTCTAGAGAAAAATTAATTTGAAATAATCTCGGTCACAAGACTTTCACATTCCCTTGAAAAATAATTAACAACTTATTCGTGTTTGTCCCTATCATTATCCTAAATATCAGCATACTGAAATTGAAAGGGATGGAACAAGAATTTTTGGATCGTGGCATAATTCGACCCAACAATAGTCCATTTTCATCACCAGTTCCATTGGTAGAAAAAGTCGAATGGAACTTTGAGGTTTTGCTTGGACTAAAGAGCACTTAACATCATCACTATCAGGTATAAATATCCAATTCCAATCATTAACAAACTCTTCAATGAGTTGTACGGAGCCCAATATTTCTCAAGAAATTGACCTTCTCGTAGGCTACCATCAGATTAGAATGAAGGACGAGGTTGAGATTCACAACTCAAATTTCAGTGATTCTGGGTTGCATTATTGAACAAATAAGATAAAGTGATAGATTATAATTGTAACATCCCCGTCTCGAGCCGGTTCAATTAACATACGTATGATATAAACAGATACAGCGGAAGACTTATCTTACGGAAATACGGACTAACTTTTTCTTTTTCTTCTTAGCTTCATACAAAGTATAACCAAAAAACGGACAGAGTAACCTCTGTAAATCGGACAACTGGGAATTTTCCAATCCCACTCGCAAGAGTTCCTAATAGACAGTTTCAATAATATTCATATTCAGAAGTACCAGTCATGCAATATAATCAGATACCCATCCATGGGCGCATACAGAATTTGGCTCCGTGCCACTAATCTAACAGCATGCAGTCCAATACAGAAACATAACTGAATACTACATAGTCATATCAACATGCCTGAATACAAAAGGTACATGCATCAACTGAATGACATGTACAAGACATATACAGGCCATATACAAAATACAGGATCTAACATAATGATCCATCACTACGGAAATACGAAATACATAGGTACACTCCAAAAAGATTAGTAGCCTACAGCTACTCAAAATACTGATCTGTCAAACGTCTCAGCCCCGTGTCGTGTCCCTGCCTAACGAAGGCTCACCGGAAGTCTGTGCACCTGAAAATGTTGCCCCAACGAGGGGTAAGAGTTCAAATCTCAGTAAACTCCAGGTTTATAGAGAATTCTCCATACCCCTGGCTCACTCCTGCATGAAAGTCAGATACAGAGTATACCAGTACAACATATAACAAATATCATAACAGAACAGAACATATAACCATATCATAACAGAGGTGTGCGCTGTAATTCCCAAGGGATGACCCCAAGCGGAATTCAACGCACGTGTTCCCAAGGGATGACCCCAAGCGGAACCAGAGTATCTCAGAGGTGTACATTGTCAATCTCAGGAAAACCCCAAGAAGACATCAGTGTACCAGAAGTCAATATAGAACTCATATCATACCCAGTCATATCATATCGTCTCATATCAAATCATATCATATCATATCAAATCATATCATCAAATCACTCTATATGAATGCACCTATACAGAGTATCAACAACAGTCATATAGTCCAACCACAGTTCACTAACCATGGTGAAGCACTCAAGGAGGAAAAAACTCCCTAAACATAGAGCTTACCTCTTGAAGCTTTACCAATACGCTTACTTGTGGACCAAGTTACTTTTATCGCTTCAAGAGATTTCCGATCCTTCTCAATCCCTAGGCACACCTAGAGAATAATTTACAATGCATCAATAAAATGATACTATGCCATGATTATTTCATAAGCATACATTTTATCGCTTATTTTCCTTTCTTTATACTTTTGCCAATGTTATGCCAATACACAAGTCTAGACCACCTTATACTCGTTAGCATTCTTTAATTTTAATCAAGTATTCACTTGAGAATTTTCAATATCATTCATGCCATTTTACTTCAAATGCCGCGGACATACCCTTAGGAAATCAAAGTATTTTTCAACCATTTTTCGAGTCATCTCACTTCTTAACTCATCAATTTTATACAATGAATTACAACACATTTTATTTACAATAAAATGTAACAAAATATACTCCTATACCACCCTCTAGGTCGAACACTACAAGGACATAGACAAAGGTTCTTTTTCTTCACTTACACGTAACTTACACATACAAATACATGTTTTCATAAGGTTCCAACTTAATTTTTGGAGCATAAAGTCCCTCCAAAGCCCCACAAGGCCTAAACCTAAGGGCATATTTCATATAATTTTTCCCACTTTGGCATTCTCACTAATTTATCAAATTTCCACTTAATTCCTACACATTAAACCTTCCTAATACTTAAGATAAAATTTTTGCACAACAACCTACTCTTCACCTACGATGGCCGAACATGTAGAGGAAATCATAGGATTTTTTCTAATTTTTTTACATACATACAAATGCTTATTTTCATTTCTTACATCCAAGACATCAAAGATTCATCATTAAATCAAAGTTTAATACACAATGCTTTCCTACCAAAACATACTCATAACTTTTATAACTCAAATCATCAAAATAATACCATGGAAATAGAGGTTCATTACCTCCAAAAGCTTATACAAGGTCTAGAAGGTGACCAACAAGCAAGACTCCACCAAAACCCCCCTTTTTCACCTTGGATGAATAGTAATCCGAAAATGGAGTGATGAATATCTCCCTCCACAAACGAAATCAGCTCAAATGGAGGGGTGGAATAGCTTCCTTGGATGATTTCCTATGAGATTGGTATATTGGGTGAAAGATTTGGTGGAATATTGGAGGAGAAATCAAAGAAGACAAAACCAAAACCCTCACCCCCCCCCCTTCCATAGCTGCTGATCGGCTCCAAGGAGAGAGAAAAGAGTGTTTTTCTTTGAGTGAATAGTGATCACATAAGTCACTTATGTTTTATAGCACATGTGGCTTTTACCCGGGTATTTTTCTTTCGCATATTTTCACTTAAACTAACCCGGAACTAACTCAAGACTACAAATGTATTTTTATTTTTTCTAATATCATTTACATAAATTTTTGTTTCCTAAGGAACAACATTCATAATTCACAGCATGGTTTTTGCACCGTTTTTGACGAAATGCACTGTGAATCACTAATTGTACTTCATTTATTTAGGAAACTTAAAACTTATAAACTTATCATTTTCTTGGTCCTATATTGACTTGCTTGGCATATATTGGACTTTCTTATTCTTATTTCATCAATTATTTATTTCTGGACTCTACCGGTTGCTTAAACAGCAGTACAAAATACCCGGTAGAAACACTATTCACGAGATTTTCACGAAAAGTGCCAGACTATACAATTTTTCGTTCTGAACTCATATTTGTCGTCAGAATTATCAATTTATGTCTCTAAAATTATTTTTCTCTTTTAAGCTCTACCGGTTAATTCACAAACTGTAAATTCTCCGGCAGAACGCACTGTTCATAACATAGTCATGATTACAGTCAAAATACTCGGAATCACTCACTGAATCTAATTATGGCATTTAAATCCTTAAATTAAATCTCTAATTAAGATTTACCATCTAGGGTCATTATAATAATCATTCTGCAATCTCCAATAAATCACAAGATGCTCTCCCTACACTGTACTAGAACATGGTGGGTACATCTCTGATTCTACACAATTCGAATAGGGACATATTAGAGTAAACATTAATAATTGTGATAGGAATTATGAATCTGTCTTCATGCTTGTCTACTATCAAATACTCATGTTCAATGCTAGGTGATGTGTGTGGTCGAGCTGCTGGGTGATGTGTAGACCATTTCGTAGTGGGTTCCCCTCTGGTTGTTAGTTAGGTGGTTGTGGTGGCGGCAATAGGGGTTGTTGGTTGTTCGCCATACTATGTGTGTTTACTATCGTGGGACAGGAATATAAGTTTAACAATCCTCACCAACTATGTCAATAATCAATCTGGAGGAATGGGAATGTCTAGCCGATGGTTAGTCCTTGTATCTCGGATTCGTACTCTCACAGTGGTCTACGGAAAAGATGCCGCAAGGGATAACATATCCCTGTGTACAATGATAAAGGCATTAAGCCAAAAGCAAAGGGTGTGTGCATACTGATAATTAAGAGAGTGGGGATTTTTAAGTGTTTACACGAGAGATTTAACCCTTTATTTATAAAAAAGGTTACTTGAAGGTGAAAAATCCTAATAAAAGTTAAACAATTGAGAGGATAGAACGAGGGATCTTATCTCTTATCTTAGGCGGTTGCTTCTAGAAGCTATGTACTTTTGAGAAAGGTTCGAAACATTAGAGGTGTTTACGGTTTGGATTGGATCGATTTTGGAAGTAAAAATTATCCTATCCAATTCCTTCGGTTTAATCGTGTAACCGTCCATTCGGTTTGAATTTTTTTTCAAATCCGATCCAATCCAATTCTATTCGGTTTGGATTGGATTGGATCAGTTTTTGATTTTTTTGAAAAGCCTAAGATTTGTATGATAATTATTGTGCAAATAACATATCTTTTGTATGTATCGGCTTTGTAAAGTTTGTATGATGATTATTGTGCAATCTGGAAGTATTGTACAACAAAAAGTTAAATTATGATCGTTTACTTCCAACAAAAAACATATAATATGGTTGCCTGAGATATGAAGTAACCCAAATTTTCATCCTATAGGGGAGTTGTTGTACATCAATAACCTATGTAAT